TTTTTTTTTTTAATAAACTTTATGTTAAGTACATATTTTAAAATACATATACCGTAGTGATATGATCAGGGTTATATATTAGAGATTATGATGTATAAAAATTTTCTAAACATAACATTATCTAATGATAACTATTTGTTGTCTCTAATCTATTTTTTACTTGGTTCTAAATAATTATTATTTATAAAGTTATTATCAAACATACTTAACTTTATAAGTTGAAAGGTTTCTTTTAATGACTTGTACCAAACCTCTACACATTTATATTTAAAAAAATATAAGTCATTATTTGTAAATTGAAAAAAAAATTTGAGTCATAAATTAACAATACCAATAAAATTAATACTTTAATTAATAAAACGAAGATTTACAATTTAAAAACATGGAACACTAATTATAACAAAGAAAAATAAGAAATGAACTCTACTAAATTTATAAGAATAAAATAAACACATATATATATATATATATAAATATTGGAAACTACATTAATGACAAGAGGTTAAAATTATATTTAATGTTCAATAATTACCTCAGTGGAATGTGAAGAAAATATATTAATGGATTTTTCTTTAAAATATTGTTATGTTTTATTTATTCTGCAAATTTACGATTTGGATTGCGACCAAACAATGCAGTTCGAACTGCTGGTATTAATTGCTGAGCAATTAACTCCAATCTGGATTCTAATGTGTTACAGATTTTTATTTTACTTTTTTGGGCAAATAACTCAATACCACCACAAGTGTTAGATGCCAAATAAGTTTCCGTATCGAAACTTAGATTAACATCTTTTTGGGATGTTGATTTGTACTCAGCTGCTACTTCATCCAATAAGCCTTCAACGACTGATGCATCAATTTCACGAACTCTTAATGTAACATTCTTCTCTAATAACTAAACAAGTAAAATTATAAATAAAAAATATTTAACAGTTAAAGGTATCATTAAAATAAACTCAGTTACATATTAATAAAATGATAATCTAATGTATTACTAAGCTATTGTATCTCATAGAACATAATTAAAAATAAAAAATAAACTTTTCAAATAATAACATTATAAAATAATTCTTTTTTTTTTTTTTTATTTGAAAAACAAACTATACCATTTTTTGCATACAAGCTTGTAAGATAAGGGTACTTGACATATGAATATTAGTTATTTCTTATATATATATAATTTTTTTTAATTAATGCAAATAACAAGTTAACAACAAATCATGAAAACAACTTCCTTTTCAGCCTTTCGCAAGGATTTCCTGGGAATGTAAAGATGAATAGGCCCTTTGTTAAAAGGATTGAAATAATTTTGATGTTAATTGCGAAACATGAGTAATAAGTGTGTGCTTCTTCCTTAATAGTTTTACTAGCAATATCATTATGAAGTTTTAAGTATGAGATATATATGGTGAAGATTTATTGAAGTGCTAAACTAATTGGACCTGTTTGAGTTTAAATTTTTTGGAATGTCCCAAAGTTACAGTCTGTAAGTCCAAATAGATTTGAGTAACATTTTGTAGATTAAAAATTTAATTTATTTAATTAAATTAATTTAGTTTATTAAGGATTGTTCTTATATTGTGAATATGATGACTCCAGGTTAGTCGTTTATCTAAGATGATTCCAAGTACCTGACCTAATCTTACGAGGGAATTAGGATGTTGTTTAATGTAACATTAGGACATATACCTTGTTTAAGTGTGAATTATATTATTTTAGAATAACTTTATACTTTTAAAAACACAAAATGTAAGACAAGACATCAATAAGCTAATTAAATTATTGTACGTTTAAGTTTTTCCGACCAACCTGTAAGATAGCCTGCAGAATAAGCTTTTTGAGTACTTCTCTGTATAATGGGGGGTTATTGGTTACTTCTACTAAACGCTTTCTGGCTTCATCCAAAACTTCTCTAACATGATCTTCACGAACTTTAAGTGTTTTAAGACGTGCTTGATTTAACATATTAGAAGATTGACTGTAAATAATAATAATAAGTTTAAAATTGTTTTTACCAAATTTAAATTAAAAAAAAATTATATTAGAAATTTTACTTATAAAAATTGAAAGGAGTGACATTTTATTTTTATCGCACTTATTGTAAAATTGGCTATATCAGTTGTACATGCATTTCTCAATTTCTCCTTAAATAATAATTATTTTAAGAAAATTTTTGTTTTTTCACTCTTTAATTTCACATATTTTTTTATTAGTTATTAATTACTTTTTTAATTCATCTGTTATATCTAATAAAAGTGACAATTTTATTTTTTTAAATAGCAGCTTACATATTTAACCAGGTTATAAAATAAAAAAATCATTTAATTAAGATAATGATCGATCAATAACAAACTTTTGGACTAGTACTTCGAAGGTTGTTAACATTTTTATATCAAAGTAGAAGAGGTATGGACGAAAAATATCTGAAGATTAATATTATCATGCCTTCGCCTCACTTCCAGTCTATCATTTAAAATGGTAGTAAATTTAAAAATAATGGGTTATAATTTGTAATAGATCAGTCATTTTTTATTTTATAAAGTAAATAAGTATGAATGTTGCAATTAAAAAAATTAAGTTGAGACCTTATAAGATATAAGGGATAAATTAATAAAAGTAATAATAACTGATAAATCAATAATTATATGAAACTAAAAAATATCAAAAATAATTTTCCTAACAATCATTATTTTAAGAGAAATCTACTTGCTGGCATTAAAAAAATTACCATGTAAATTTTCAACTTTGACCTTGATAACAATTTGAAAATTTTAAGTAGCAAAAATTAGCAGATTTTAAAAATAAAAGCAAAAACTGAAATAATAATAAATAAATTTACATAATAAAAATAAAAATTTTATAACATAAACACGAACATTTTATAAATACAAATTCATGTCCGGTTTTCATTTATAACAGTAAAAAACATATTACTGTACTTATTATAATAAATATTTCCTTTTAATCTTATGATAATTTAGTAAAAATTAAATCACTTATAGTTTTTTTATTTTAAAACTTACATTTTTTTTTGTAGTTCAACTTGTTTTTCCTTGCGTTCAAAATATTCCATGATTTTAAGACGTTGGTGTTGAACCAAACGACCTTTTTCTATATTAAACTCTTCTTCAGCTTTAGCATCTATTTCTTCAGCTTTTTCATTGGCCTCTTGCTCAATAAAGGCCATCATATGTTTAATCTGAAATATTTAATGGATGTATTTTAAATGTCTAATTGAATATGTGTAGGTATTTTTTTCACAAATATCAGGTAATATCTAACTTGTTTTTGAACATCAGCATCGCTAAGAGCCATTTTAAATAAGGTTTTCAAAGAAATTTCTTGGTAAAATTAATTATTTAATAAAAAAAGTATAATTGCAATAACTTAATACAGCACTATAAGACGTCAAAAATACTAATAAAATAGAACAACCAACGCCCAATATAAAATATCGCGAGGTTGGACGGGTTAAGCTATAGAAGAAGATATTACAGTGTAATCAGTGCCTTATCAACGAGGTCGAAGAAAAATTTGAAAATTGTTCCAAGTTTCCATAGTTAAAAATAAATTTCATATAAAACCTGTTTCATTAGTATAAATTGTATGTTGAAAGCAATTCTAAAAATTTATATAAATCTGTTTTTCAAAAAACGCGTTTTTATCTTCTTTCTTCCATTGCTATCAGCAGCGCTTTGTTTGCCCAATGTTATTGAGTTTGTTTTATTTTCTCACAGATTCGCAAAAGTCCCGAGTGGCGAGTTCGTCGTATACTCAAATATCGCAAGTCAACACGATAATAACTATCAAGTTAAAAAAAAACAAACGCAATTACTTTTTCATCTTTCATGTATTAGCTTCCTTTTTTCAAAAGCCGTCCATCAACGTTCTGTCATAATCGCGCTAGCCGCGTTCATAATTCACATGCATCAAGTCCGCCGCACACATATTACCATAAAAAACTTTAATATTACACGCACCCCTTAACACCATTTGTTGCGTTCAGCCGATATTAACGAAAAATATTGCCGCCATACGGCCAATATATCATAGTTCAATGCAATTTTATACAACAGGCAATATGTTGGCCACGACTCGACGTTGAGAAGCAACCAGTTTTTATACTTCCTTATCACAGTAAATAGGTCCTTAGGTAAGATTGTAAATAGTATAATAATTTTTAATTTTACGCATTCTTGGAAGTTACTCTTGTTATAGTGGATAATTGTGTTATTAAATATTTAATTATTTAAAATAGTGAATGTGAAAATCTTAAAAATGTATTGATAAAAATCAATTTCATATATACTGGCTACATCCAATACGCAAAATGGTTTTGCTCTTTGTGTATATAATAATTATTAACTAAAATTAATGTATTTTTATTTGATTATATATCCACAATTCAGTATTATATATATACATATATATGTATATATATAATATATATTATGATACATAATGTTTTATTATGTTTAAAACTCATTTCTTCTGAAAGTTCATTAAAAAATTTTATTCGGTGAAATATTAGGTAAAATATTTTTATTTTCTTAAAAATTTGAAAATTTGATGTAATATTTAAGTACATTGACATATATATTTTTATATTTTAGGTAAATACATAGTGGTTATGATTCATTATTTTATCTTAATCTGTCTCTTATTTTGTTAACGTAATTTTTCTTGTTTTTATGTATGATGTTTGTTAATATAGTAAAAATTGTTACCATGTAAAGAACATAGATTTTTGTAAAATTTTCTCTTAGTTTTTGTATTAAACATTAAACTAATACACCTTTTACTATACTAATATGTATTTTTCTTAAATTTGATGAAATTGTTTTAATTAAATTTAACAAATGAAGTACAATTATATTTAATTTATATATTTTGAAATCATACTTGATGTATATTTTTACATAATTAACCTATAAATTGATCAACTTTATTTATTCTTTTATATTATAACCAATAAAAATAAATTTTTTTCCTAAATAAATCTCCCACAAACTATTATAATTATTTGATTCTCTTGGTAATATTTATTAAATAGAACATGATAAATAATGCATTTGATAGATATTCTAACCTTGGTTTTATTATATTTCTACTAGCTTAAATAATAAAACAATTTATTATACGAGTAACAGAATTAATATTGGGATTTAGAGAGTTAAATCTAGAATTATTTGTTGTTGATTGTTGTTCAATTTACCCTTATGTAGAAAAAATATTGATCTAGTTTTATTTGATAGTACACTCATTTTTGTTGCTATATTTTAAGTAAAGTTGTTTGTGGATATTTGTCACTTCATAAATGATCACCTTATTATACCAAATATGACTTTTTCTTCTATAATTACATATGCAATAATATGAACAAACCACTACAGCTTCTCAACATATAAAATATCAAAATAAGAAATAATGTATTGTTTGAAACTCATTTTTTTATTTGATTCTTGATTTGTGTATATTAACTACCTATTTTGGAAGTAATTTCATAAAAAGTATTTAAAAAAAAATTTAGACAATCTTCAAGGAGCTATAAAATTGAAAAAAAAAATCCCCCCTTTGGTTAATAGTTAATCAAAGTATTAAAAAACTTAAGGAGCTAAAAATTATTTTAATCTTATCATAAGGTTTTATATCAATGTATAGGTCATAAATGATCTTAAATGATGAAAAAAGAGATACTAAGTTACAAAAACAAAACTTTTCAGTAAAGGGAAAAAAATAATTTGCCTAAACAGATTGAACTAGCATCAGGTTACTAATTTTGTATTACTACAGTTCTTTGTTAAAGAAAAAATTGATTTTTCGATCTTGTTACCCTTTTTCTATTGTAAAACCTCAATTATAATAATTGTTATTGTTTGATTAACTGTATTTTGATATAATAAATGAGGGTATTTATAGAAGCTAAATTTTAAATTACTTTTTTGTTAACTAGTATTAATGAATTATTATTTATTATATTTAAATTAATTTTCAGTAGGCTAATAAAAATAGAAAGTGTGCTTAGGCACATTCACAAGTTACAAACAGGCGCAACAGTGGCTACCAAGGCAATTAGCAAATGTTTACACCACAACACCAACAACTGTCGCCTAATCGGGCGTCAATTAATATGCAATCGCCTCAGGCTAGCAACATATCGAGGGGTATCTTTCAGAGAGGTGGATTTGCTACCAACCCGGGAGCAGACAGGCGAGGACATATGCCGGGAATTGCATCACTCATGCAAGAATGGTCTATAATTTAGTTTTATTGTGAAACATTCCTCTCTAAGTATTCAATTTTTTTTTAGGAGTTCAACATCATTGGCGAATAATGCAATGAACAATTATGGTGGGTCAAGTTCAAATAACCGATCAACATCTGGTTATAATTTGTCTTCTCAACATGGTTTTCATTCAGCATTTGGTAGTAACCATGTAGACAATGGTAATTCAGCACCTCCTATATTAGACCCGTCCGAATTCCCTTCTCTTACTACAGGACGAATATCAAGTAGTGGACAGGGTGATAGTGTCCTACATTCCAGCACAATGCCTGCCGGAAAACCTTATGGTAAACATTCACCATTCAAATCATTTGATCAGCTGTTCAGTAGTGAGTTAAAATCATTAAGTTAGAGTGGTATTTTCTGGTAAAAATAATATATAGGTACAATCAGACTTTCTATGACATTTATTTAATTTATTTATTATATTTATATAGTGGGAATGGTGAAAGCTCCAACGTCTGAAACCAGCGAATTTACAATGAGCAGTAAAGACTTTCCAGCGTTACCCGGTACCCAACCTCTTAATGTAACAACCTCGTCTTCAACAACAGATCCAAATCAACAATCCACCATTATAACTTCTGGCTCAACAATAAACTCATTAGATCAAAATGGTATGCAAATGTCCAATGACCATCTAGATCAGAGACTGAACAATCTAAATAGCCAAACGGACAACAATTCTCAAGAAAATGGAAACTCGGATATTAAGAAAGGAGTGCAAACATCCCCTGATGGTTTGTATTAGATATGATCCAAATAGTAGTTTTAGTTGTTATAGAGTTGGGCAAGAACTGCACATGCATTCAGACCTATAAGTCCAATGTGCCACAACTACAGAAATTATATTAATTTTGTTTCTTCACATAAATGTTTCCAACAAAGTATTGTTGTTATTGTTGAATACCTAAGACTATTTATAAGACGTCCTATTAGGACACCATCTATATATATATATATTCAAAGAGTCCTGTCTCAACAAAATTAAGTAACTCTTTGGGTTTTCGATATCTTTTTTTTTTTGGGAAAAGATTTTTCCAAATGTTTAGACCTTAATGTGGCCAGGATATCACATTCACGCATAATGTGAAATAAATCTTACTCTTTTGTCCCACACTTCCTGGACAGTGGTGATTCTGTTATTCCCATTGTGTAAAGATGTTTAAACAGATGACTGTGTCTTACCAGTAGTTCAACAAATGACATTTGATATCTAGTCAAATTATTAAGATCCCTTAGTAGTAAACTGGGAGTCTTGATGAAAATATTTGATTGTCTAGGTACCACTAGATAATACCATGTTTTCTTCTTGTGTTGTTCTCTACACTTGTTTTTGAGTAATACTTTGAGGGTTTGCTCTGTAAGTATTACCGCTGGTTCTGATCCAACATAGGTGTTTTCTGTGACTTTACTTGCTAGAAAGTCTGTGTTTTCATTACCAGTCATATCGCTGTGTTTTGGTACCCATGCCAGTATAATTTTATTGAACCTTGCTAGTGATTCTAAGTTTCCCTGCATTCAAAAACTAGCCTTGAAGTCACTTGGTTATTACTAAGTGCCTTCAGAACGGCTTTACTATCACTTAGGATACTTATGTTCTTTTTCTTGAATACTAGCAGGTTCTGGCGCCCTACTAGTATTGCCATTATTTCTGTTTGGAACACAAAGAGTATTCTTCCCTCCCAAATAATAAATACATATACTAACAAAGAGCTGGGTTAAAAAAAGTGCATACAAACCAAATGTAGAGTAAAAGCTGGGTAGCCAAACTTTCAGTATTTATTAAATAAAAAGATCAAAATATTGGATGTGTAACATTTCCTTCTCATTTAAGTTAAAACCAAAATATAGGTGTAGAGTTATATACATAAATAATTTTTTGTTATTCTCGAAAGGTAAAATAACTATCATTATTATCTACTCAATGATTGAAAATTTTGTAGATATGATAATAATAACAAAGTACTGGGCTAAAACTATAAATTATGACTGTAAATAAAAAATTCTCATGTAACATAATTTTTTAAGGTAAAGCCAGGAAAAATAACAAGTACTAAGTAAAAATAACTTACAAACCGAGTACCGGGTAAAAAGATTCTTACAAACCGAGTATTTGGTAAAAGCAAAGTCCTAAAAAAGAATGGCGGGTACCCAGCAATTATTAGAAAGCTGGGTACCCAGCACATCTTTAGTTTATATTCATTATTAAATTTATGTAACCTAATTAAATTCAATATTTTAATTAAAAAACAAAAAAAACTTTTAGGTAAAGTAACTAATATACCAGGTAGTATGGTACGTGATCAATTTGGTATTGTTGGTCTGTTAACATTCATTAGAGCAGCAGAATCTGATCCTAACTTAGTATCATTGGCTCTTGGACAAGACTTAACTGCACTTGGACTGAACTTGAATTCACCAGAAAACATTTATCCAACATTTGCTGGACCATGGGCAGATGCACCATGTAGGCCCCAAGATGTTGAATTTCATGGGCCCCCTGAGTACATTATTAACCATGGAATACGGTTTGTTATTTATAAAAATTAAAATATTACAAAAATTAACATATTATTATTTATTTTGGTTTTCAGAGATAAATTAGCACATATCAAGTTATCCAGATATAAAGAAGATTTATTATTCTACTTATTCTACACTAATTATGGTGATGCAATCCAATTAGCAGCAGCTAATGAATTGTAAGTCCTTAAAATTTGACAGTTGAATTTTTTATTAAAATTTAAATAATTACATAGATATTCTCGAGACTGGCGTTACCATATGGAAGAACGAGTATGGATTACTCAAGCCCCTGGATTAAGTCTAATAGAAAAAACCAGCACTTATGAACGTGGTACATACTATGTATTTGATGCTTTAACGTGGCGTAAAGTTCCCAAGGAATTTCTATTGGAGTACAGCAAGCTGGAGGGTCGACCAACTGTGCCTAATGTGCCACTTACTACACCTAATCCGCTCTGACATAACGAGCACCGTCGGGGCATGGATGCAATTCCAATAGCTACCGACCCTGATATACATCAGCCCACGACGGTAATTCTCAATGCAGCCATCGTCAACTCCTAAGCCTATAAAATATTTCCCTTTTCTCGTTATCAAATCCTCTCAGAACAACACCCTCTCCCACCCTATACCCCAACATTCTCCTATGAAACAATACAAGTATTTATGTATAATTGAATAGGTTTTCTGTCATTTCTCAGGCGGAATACTTGCATCGTAATTTAACATTTATTATAAATAAACAGAGTTATTTATAGTCATTTTATAAAAGAAACTTACGTACAATTTTGTAAAGACAAAATAAGAAAAAAAAATCATTCTTCATTTATTAAGGTAATGTTATTTGTTTTTAAGTTGATAAATAAATTTTGAAACAATACATTGTTGTACATTAATTGAATAGTATATATTCTATATTTATTTAATACAAAATTATATTAATATATTAAAAAATTGATAAACAGTGAGTTTAATTTGGTAATAACTCTGGTAAATATTTTCTTATTATACCATCTCTACAAGCAGTATAAAGGAAACGACCATCAGTACTAATATCATAAATAGAATCTGAATTTGTACCACTTAAGTAAGCCTTCTTTCCATTAGTTGATCTAACTACGCAAGAACCATCACTATGTCCAGTTACAAGTCTGTCTTTAAACAAACATAAACATCTTACTGGCGAAGTAGTATCATGAATTGAAAATATGGTAACTAATTCTGTATTTAACCAAAGAACACTGCCATCATTGCATCCAACAAAAAGATGTGCATCGTTATTTAAAAAACATGCATTAACTGCAACATCTAGCTTTGAACTTATTATGATTTTTCGAGTATACACAGCAATTAATGCTACTATTCCATTTTCGCAACCTATCAATAATGCTTTGTTATTGGTTCCAAATTCTTTATCATCTAAATAAATAATATTAGTATTAAATATATCAAACTGAAAATAAAAGTATTGTTGATAACTATGTATAAAATAATAGTTTCATACTAATTGGCAATGTGCGTTTTCCAAAATCTTTATTCTGTATAATATTTAATGAACAACAATTTATTGATGTATCTAGATTAATGAGATCATCTAAAACTGTTCCACTAGCAACATGCCATAATTTTACTGTGCCATCTCTATCAATATTAAAATTTTATTATTACAACTTCATTTCATTACACATGATCTTACTTGGATACTGAAATAATATTTTGGCCTCTATCGACAATTGCTATATCTGTGACAGTATTAGTGTGACCTGTTAGAGTAATAGCACATTCTCCAGTTAAAGCATTCCAAACTTTGATTCTTAAATCGGCACCACAACTTAAAACAACTTCTACACTAGGAAACCAACGACAACAGTATATATCACCATAATGCCCAGTCATTTTTACCTTAACAAATTAATGGTTAGTAAATATATTTTTAATATTTTTAAGAAAACATCCAACTTCTTTTTCTTCTTCATCTAAAGTACTCCAGGTTTTAATGATACTATCAGAAGCTGACACACACTGACCGTTAATAACATCTAATGATGTAATCTATCAAAACAAAATAAAATTATGTTGGAAGTTTCACTATATTATTATAATAATATTTATATTGCTCAGATAATTTTTAAAAATATCCTTATTTTTATATTATTACAATTATGGATACTTATTTCCTAATTTTTTAAACATACAAATGAAATTAATCTTTTTTGAGTTAATTAAATACTGATATACTTGTTTAAAACAATCTTCCACTAATACTTAATAATTTAATAACACACTTAGAATATTATTTCTCAAATAATATGTTTATTATAATACTTTAAATAATTAGAACACTAACACTTTTTTGATGAATTTTTTTAAAAGTTCTGTAAGGTGATAGAATTGTGACAAGACCACATAATACATGTCTTAATTGAATAGCATGTGAAGTTACACAATCAATTTCAAAACCATTAGTTCCTTTTAAAACTGGTATTCCATTCATTTTAATAGAAGAACATTCTATATATCCATATAGGCTAGGCATACCTAAAAATTAGAGTTAACAAAATTAAAAACATTTATATATATGTGATGTAGTAAAATATAATATAAATAAAATATTTTATATTTTGGACATATATAACAGTCAGAAATGGCTTGTGAAGCTGATCTTTGTTTAGGTAATTAATATTGAAATTATTAAAAATAAATATTCAAGATTCTCCATAATTAATTTCTAAGACAAATATTTAAATATCACTTTGTAAAAATAAAAAATGAATATTTACCTATTGGCTTAATAGATATCCAAGATCTACCTCTAATTGATCTAAGACAAATGTTTTTATTTTAGGAATATCGAATAAAAAAAAATTATATAATATTTTTCTTACTTCACACACTTCTCCCAGTCTTGTTCAATGAATAAACATGTCTCAGTCATATTAGTTGAAAAATGTATTTTCAATTAAATATTCCTGCAATAAAATTTTTATTTATCTTAAAGTCATTAACAAGTTAATTTTTATAAATAAAAATTTATTTATATTTGAAAAACTAAATTCGTCTTTGACTTTAGATCAGTGTATATATACCTCGATAGTTGACCAAAAAAATATTAAAATTTTTATTGTATGTCAACCATACATGTTAAATTATTATTTATACAAATATTAAGTTTTACTTTTGCTTGGTTAATATAGGAGGAGTTTGATTGTGTTAATTCTATGAAAGAAATATAGCAAATAAATGGTTTATCTATTTTTTTATTTTTTAATTTATCTATTTTAAGTTAAAAAAATAAAATAATTTTACTTCTTAATAATTATACGAAATACAATTTAATAACACAATCTATATAATATTATAACATGGAGTTTAATTTAATTTATGAAACTAATGGATATTCATAAAAATATTGCTTCATAGAATCAAAAATTCAGGAGTAATAAGAAAAAGGTTTAAAAAACAAACAATAAACAACAACTATGAATGACAAATTTTCAAATATTGTAAAATTATTAAAAGATAAATAATATTTATATGTTATAATATCTATAAACTTATTTGGAATCTGAGATAACAATATAACGTGAGTTGATAATAGTAACTACAGATATAGATAATAATTTATTATCAATATCTGTGGTGGTATCAAATCGTAAAACTTGATAAGTTAATAATTAAAAATTGTTGGATCGAAAATAAATAAATATTCATATCATTATATAATTTATTTAATTATTGAAACATTTAAAAAATTCATAATTTACACTCAAAATAATAATATTAGGTATTTAAAAAAATACCAACAGCACTTAAAGTTCCCAAGCGGTCACCTATCCAAGTACTAACTACGCAAGACGTTGCTTAATTAAAGTCATCGAATGGGAACTGGTGTATTCAACATGGATGGTTACAGCGATGAAGTGAAAATGTATTTCTTAACATAAAAAGCGTACTGGATCATAACTTTTTGAATATTGTTTTAATTTAAAAATTACAATATATATATATAAATTACATCATTTTTACAACTATTTATTTTAAATAAAACTGATATTATTTTTAAATCAGTGGTCCATAACTCAGTACTAGTTGGGCAAAATCTAATTTTGAAATATAAAAAAAAACGGTAGCACAGTGGGGTCGAGGCACAGTGTAGACAAGGCAAAGATGGGACAAGTATAGATGATATCTGACAGTGATTAAAATCACTATCATAAGAAACGCTTCGATGCAAATCTGTAGATAGTGTTTCATTTAGAGAAATTGGTGGATTATTCCAAGAGCAACATCAACTCTTATTTCTTTGATTATATCCTAATTAGTTGTTCTTTGATTTTAAAATATAATATATGAATAAATATTAATTATAATTATTAAATTTAGTATGAAATTGATATTCAATAATTTAATATAGTAATTTAAACGGAGAAATTATAAAAATAATAAAGAAGATGTATTTTGCTTTATTTTTACGTGTATAAAAATTTAAAGGGCTTGATACAATAAATTTCTATAAAAACTGTTTGTTACTATAAATAAATGCACTGAACTACAAGGAACTTTCATCAGTAACAAAAATATACCATTCTAAATCAACTTTTTGCGATGTTTTCAAATTTGCAATTAGACTTTTTCTATCACTTCTAAGTTTTAATATTATTAAAAATTCGCATCGAAGCTAAAAAATTGGCTATTTAAGCTAACTCAAATTTAAAAATTACTTTTTTGACTTTAAAATAAAAATCATAGTAATCATTTCTAATTAACTTTTGGCGTTTAAAGATTCTACAATGGAAATATTCAGAATTTAATTAATTTTAATGATTATATATCTAAGAAAATCAATAAAAAGTTATTCAATTTAGCCTATTATAAAAATAATAATTATAAAAAAATAGGGCAGTGTATTGCCCTTATAAGATATTTTAAGATAAAATTAAAATTCAAAACCCAGGATTTTAACAGAAAAATAGTATATTTTTGAATATGGTAGCCATTTGCGCATAGAAGATAGGTCGTTCGGGACAAATTTTTTTTTTCATTTTATAGTACATAAAATAAGCTTTAATTTGACATATGTTTAAAGGACGCAATATTTCCGGAACATTTTCAAAAATTAAGTTGAAAAAGTTATTTTTTGTAAAAAAGTTACTATTTTAAATCCCCCCAGTGAGCAGAATAAGTGTTAGATTTTCAAAAAAAAATGATATCAAACGAAAGGAAATTACCTAAGGTTTCAGTATAAAAAAAAATTATGTTGATTTGTTGATTTTTGAAAAAGTTATGGAAGTTTTAGGAAAAAAAAGTGAAAAAAATGACAAAATTTACCGATTTTTAAATTTGTAATTTTTTTGGATATTTCCCCCATTTACGGGGAACGAGGGAAAATTTTTCAATTTTTAAGGATAATGTCTTCAACTAGATACGATTTGTGATCTTTTGACGTATTGTTGAAAAAAATCGGTCCAATGAGAGCTGAGAAAAGTGGCAACAGACATAAAAAAAAAAAAACATCATGGTAAAATTAATACCTTCTCAGCTTCGCATCGAAGCTAAAATCAAAACAAGTATAAAACATTAATTTTTATATTTTCCTTAGAATTATCACACATTACCCGTTTGTATTTTAGAACTATTTAAAATTTTTATTTTATCCTATTGAATTTTGAAAAAATCTCCTAAAATAACTTTTCAGCTATACAAAATCACTGTCATTAAAACTGCAAGGAAAAACAAAAAGATTTCCCAGCTAAAAACATATTTTTTTTTTTAAGGCGAGAGAACTTTTAAACAAAACTTTATCTAAGGCCTTTTTTTAAAATAATTATAATTTGAAAAAAAATATCAAAATTTTATGAGTTACTAGAAATTTAGGACGTAGGCTTAGGATTATACTATGTGTAATATAAACTATAAATATTAAAAATTAAGCTACTTTTAAACAAATTCATATTTATAAACAAAAATTTAAATTCGTATATGTATGTAAACTTCTACTAATTTTTAGAAATATTCTGTACTTGTTTTAAGGGGCGTAAGTATACATAATTTTAAAATATTGAGGCAAAATCATAAAAAATCCTTGATGTTTCCATGTAATACCTGACTATTATAAAATCTTTCCATACCTATACCTTAAGTATCAAAGCAAAGTAAGTCTTTCCCTAATCATCCATATAAAAATATAAATAATAAAACATACAAAATAAATCTATTTAATTGCAAAATATTAATAATATTATTAATATTTTGCAATTATAATAGATCAAAAATAGATATGAAATAAATATATAAATAATATATCTACAAGTATATACATATTAATTTATTCATAACTATTTTAGTAAATAAAAAATTAAATAACTTATGTATTAAAAAAAAAAATTAACAACTATTCATGATTAGTGATAACCCATTGGGGATCATTTTCTGTATTAATTTCTTTACATTTTGGTCCAATTAGAGCTTTAGCAAAGATTTTATTAGAAAAATACAAATTAGTTAAGTTAACCAAATCATCTAATTTAACATTCAGAACTTGCATTCGATGATTTTGACGAATTTCTTCTGTCATATCATATAAAAATAATGCATTACCTTTTGCCATTGGTGCAATAGGATGATCTATTCCTTGAAAAACAGCTAATTTTGCTTCATTTAATTCTTCTGATGAAATATTTCTCTTATTAATCCATTGAGATATATTATCAAAGGCTTCAAAGGTATTAACTGGTTTTGGATCTCTATAAGAATACATTTGAATACTACCTGATGATGATACAGAAACACCAGCACCATAAGCTCCATTTTTCTCTCTTACTGTTGGTAACAAGTATTTTGAACTCAAATATTTACAAAGAACTTTAAGAGCAGCGAAGTGTTTATGTGTATAAGGAACACCAGGAAGAGCTTTGGCACAATAATTTACTGAAAATGGTAATACATGATGGAAGCAATTTTTTTTTAAATCATTTTGTAAAACTTTAGTGTATTCATTTTTCAAGTCCCAATTGCCATGAGTATTATTTATAAAATTTTCTAAACTTTTAACTGCCATAATATTATTATCTACTATAGTTATTGAGCATTTCATAAAATTTTTATTTAAAAGTTGTAAGCCAATATCTTTGAGATTTTTTAACACTGGTAATAAATCATTCAAATGTGCTATTTCTTTCATTTTACTTATATATTTTAGTCCTCCATATGATTCTCGATGAGCATCAATAGGATTTATTGCTGAAGTCGCACATAACATAGCATATACATGTCCACTACCAGAAATACTATTAGCTAGACTACTCGCCTCTTCTTGAATAAGAGTTTTGAATCTGTTTTCATCTTTAAATGCTACTTCAGTAAAAATTTGTGTCCAAAGATCAAACATATCATCTACATTTTTGTCCAAGCAATGAGAATTTAAAAGTATAATTTCCTTCATAGTTAAAATTTCACTTGGGGAATCTATTATAGCTTGAGATACTCCTAAACCTCCAGTAGATTTTCTTATTAACTGATCAAACTGTTTGTAGTTTTTAGATATTGTTCCCATTCTTGTTACAACATTGCAAAACAAAGGAATTAGACTTTTTAAGTTTTCGGGTAACATTGATGTATTAATTATACTTTTAAAATAAGTTACTTGATTAGTTGATTGTGGAAATATAAATATAGGTGTATTGCTAAAATTTTCTTTTTTCAAAGGCACTGAATCAGTAGTCTTTTTTAAATCATTAATTGTCAGTGAAGGTAAACATGAAGCATCTTGTACAGCATCCTGTTCTTTACGTAATTCTAGTCCTTGGTAATAAATATTTTCCTTATCTTCAGCTGATAATGAAAGCAGTTTTTCTTTCAACAAATTATTTTCCGCTTCTTTTCGTAAGACTTCATAATTTTGATTAGGTGACATAGTCATAATTAGTTTGTGTTTATTGTTCAATAAATATTTGTTCATCAATGATTGTAGATAATTAGAATCGTTAGTCATATTTTGTTTAAAAATATTTATTTTTTTACCAACATTCAAGACGTCTACAACATTTCCTTCGTGATTCCAAACAGGTAAAAGTCCATAAAGAAGATTTAAACCAAAATTAGAACTTTGATGTCTCATTGATAGTTCCACTGAATGTAAAATATTTTCAATATCACGTTGATCAAACCCATTTTTTATTACTGATTTTATTGTTTCATCATATATTGATTCAACTTTATCAAAGTCAGACTCATTTATTCCTTGGAGACCCACAGCAAAAAAAGTATCTTTTGTCTGATCAGTATATCCTGTAGGTGAACTAAAATCTGTACCAATATTTGGTTCAATTAAAGATTTATAAAATTTTGCATTGGGTCCACTTAAGAGTAATCTAGAAAGTATAGCCAATTCGAAAGTTTCTTGAGTATTAGTAATATCACTCCAAAGTGTTCCTATACTTAAAGATGACTGTTTGTCTTTAGGTATCATAGGGTCTTCCCTACAAAAAACATGAGAACGTTTATAACTAGTCCACCGTTTTTCGTTTGGTACTTTAGTTTCATCCTTAATAATATTATCAGCAGAATAATTATGCAAAAATTTTTCATTCAAAAATTGTAAGTGATTTGATAGATTAAAACTACCATAGGAATAAAAACGTGCATTACTAGGATGATAATATCTATTATGAAAATTAACAAGATCACTATGTGTTAGAGATGGTATAACATTTGGATCACCACCAGAATTAACTCCATAAGTATTACTAGGTAGAATTTGGTTTAGAAAGTTCTCATTATATATTTGTTGATTATCTGAATAAACACCTTTCATTTCATTATAAACAACACCTTTAATTTCAATAGGTGAATTTTTGTCTTCTACTAGTGTATGTTCTAGACGCCATCCTTCTTGACGAAAGTCGGAATCCCTTAACATAGGATTAAACACAGCATCTAAATATACAGCCATAAGATTGTAATAGTCAGAATGATTTTCAGTGCAAAATGGATAAAATGTGTAATCAGGAGCTGTCATTGCATTCATAAAATTAGCCATAGACCTGTTAAGCATTTTGAAAAATGGATCACGACATGGAAAATTTTTGCTTCCACATAGAGTAGTATGTTCAAGTATATGTGGTAAACCATTTGAATGTGTTGGGGTAGTTCGGAATGCTACACTAAAAACATTATTTGTATCCTTACGATCAATATGCAAATAATCAGCTTTTGTTTGTTTGTGTTCTAAACGTAAGGCCGTTAATTGTAAGTCATTAATTGATTTGATTTCTTTAATTTCAAAGCCTTCTATATCTTGTCCTTCTTCTAAATTTGTTAAAGAAGATGTATTAGATTTTAAAATACTTAGGCCACGAGCATTAAAACGACACTTGGCTAATGATTTCGAAATCTTGAACATTTTTTTAAAATATTTATGGAATCTAAAGAAAGAAAACATAATTTAAATAATATTACATATTTATATACATCTTTTTTTATTAACTCACTTAATACTGATTTTATTCTAAGGTATATTTATGTGTTAGAATTAAATGTTCAACTTATAAATCACAAAAAAATTTATTTATTATTTCATGTAAATCATAAAATAATTTTGATTATTATTATTTTAAACCTTATAAATCCACCCAAACTTTTATACTTACAGCTTCTTAGAAAGCAAATTTCATGGTTAGAATTTTAATACTGTATCAGTTGTTTATCACTTATAACCGGTCTTACATATATTCATGT